ATGATGCACTGTATTTTTGCTTTAGGTATGCTTTTTATGGTTTCTATTTTAGATGGAAGCCGCCTAGAAGCTTTAGAGTAGGCAACACACAAACTCAAGCATAAATAAATCAATAAACCTGGTTTGTTAATTGCTTTCCCTCAGTTGTTTTCATCTTTGCTTTGAGACTGTCAACCATTTTAATTCATTATGTTTTTGCCTCTCATTTTTATGAGTTTGATAGGGGAAGGGAGGGAGGAGGAGTAGGAAAATGGAAAAGGAGTCCGTGTTAGGAATTTAAAAAAAAAATTATGAAGTAGATACCACCTTTCATCACATGTATGGCTAGTTTACAATAAAGCAAAATTAACTGTAATGGTAAAAGCATCTTTACGCTTATCTTTTGGGTTTTCAAAATGTAAGTAGCATCTGGTGGCAAGGAGGGAGGGCTCATAATTAACTAGACTGGAGCAGGAGTGGACAGGCCTTTAACCCACTTGAGAATTTTCTCCCAGTGCATGTACAACCTTCAGATAACTCTTCAGATGCCTTCTCTCACCTTCAGGTTTGTTCCATATTGAGCCCTTTCCATCTCGTTTATGAAGATATTTGCAAAATTTGGTAAGTTCTTAATTGAAAAATGAGCTGAGTGTAATTTTCACCCATCTGTACCAGACTAAATCAGTACGAGCAGCTGTTCCCAGCAGAGAGGATGGCGTAACTGTCAAGACTCCTTGGGTAACAATATCCAACAACAACCTAATTCAGCCCTACAAAATATAGATGAATAACAAGAGCGTCAAAGCTGTCAAAAAAGCTTTTAAAACCCTGGAACTGGATGGGAGTTTTGCTTTCTCACATCGTTTTTTAAAAATCTCATGCTTTTTCTGTCTCAGGAAGAAATCTGTGGATTCTCACAAGTTCTAATCAGGAAAAGAATAAACAGAATTCACATCTGTTTCCCCAACCTCACCCTGAGTTAAAGTTGTTCCCATTTTAAATAAGGCACGCATCACTGCAAAAGTGAAAGCCTGATTGAATTAAGGAGGTTTTTATTGGGGCACCTGCCTTTCTCAAAAAGAAAATCCTGTAGTACAAACTCACTTGGGGTGTCTAAAGGAAGAGGAGGAGGGCGACAGCAGGTGCAAGCATATAATTGAAGCCTCACCCCTTTTGTTACATGGGTTGTATGTGCCACACATAAACAAGGGGCAAGGTTTTAATCAGGCAGTTGTGGGTGCTATCTTGCCTTTTTTTGAACCCCCCCCCAAGCTCCGATGCCCCTGACTCTTCATGAAAAAAAAGTCTTTTGACTGCTGCCCATTTTACTCAGTTACCTCCCATGAAATCGAATAGCCTCCACATAAGAGCATGTTAATAATTATGTTTGAATTGCCATGTTGTGTGCACTTATGTTATTTATTTATATGCCAAATTTATCACCACCCATCTCGTTAAAAAGCGACTGGGCAGTTTACAGAAGAGATAAAATCCATTAAAATACAACATAAAACCATCTTAAATAATTAATAAATTCCAAGGGACGATAAAATTGGTGAACAGCTTGGGGAGTGTCATCAGGACACCAGCCGCCCCCAGGATTGATTACAACTCTTGTTGACCATGCAAGCTGACAGAGCCAGGTCCTAAGTCCTCTCTAGAAAACCCCTAATAATTAATTTTTACTCCAAAGCCTAGTTTCCAGCCCAATAAACTTTTTTTTTTTTAAATAGGAAGGTCATTTTAAATTCGCTTAGAAAAAGTTAGTGCACACTGTT